GGTCCCTCAGCCTGACCTGCACCCTCTCCAATCCAGGAGCCATCAGGGGATGTCCTACTGATGGCTTAGGCCCACTCCCCGTGGTTCTCTGCTCTCTGCAGGGCCTGGCTGCTTCGCCACCACCATGGCAATGAAGCCCTCACACCCCGCTGTCCACTCTCTGTCTATGGGGTCTGTGGGCTTCGCCGCCGCCATGCGGACAAAGTCTCCACACCCCTGCTGTCTGCTCTCTGTCTGCGGGGCCTGGGGGCTTTGCTGCTGCCATCACGCGAACAAAGCCGCCATGCCCCGCTGTCCACTCTCTGTCTGCAGGGCCTGGGGGCTTCGCCACTGCCATGGCGACAAAGCCCCCATGCCCTGCTGTCTGCTCTCAGTGGTGGGGCTGAAAGGACAGGGGGTCTCCAGTGGGGCTGAGGGGACTGGGCACCACCATCTTATGGCTATGGGCACCACCATCTTTGTGACGGCATGAGGGTCAATTTGCATATTCCCTCTTTATCAGATAGGATTATGTACTGTGCATAATTGTATGTGCTCTATCTTCATAGGGCCGGCAATACAGTAGGTCTAGTTACACCAGCATCACCGCAAATATACAAGTAATGTGTTGCACTCTGACTTCAGGATGGCTATGGCAGCATTAGGCAATAGGAATTTTTCAGCTCCAGTATAATCGTATGGGACCACTGCCATATACATGGCCTATTATTGACCAAACATTCTGTGGCACATGATATAGATTTACCATCACTCTTCTGAAGGCATTATTCCAGCTAAAGTGTTTAGTGTACCAAACCGTGCCATGCTTGTCTAAATATCACAGAGCTCTGCATGCTGTTCTTTTTGTCTGGATATTTTTCTATCTTCCTGTGCCCTACTTTATTAGCTAACACCTTCACATCACATATCACATTGTCCAGGGAGCTTTCCCTGTTCCTTCCAAATCTAATCAAGATAACCTTTCTCTGTATTCCTGAAAAAACAATCTATCAAGCACTTTTCTTTATATATATTATAACTGCTGGTTTGCTTATATCTCTATCAGACTGTAAGCTTTTTGAGAGAAGAGACTAATTGATTTTATATATATCACAATAATCACAATATCTATAGCACATAATAGGAGCACAATAGATATTGGCTGAATAGATTAGTGAAAGAATATTAAAAGCTCAGGAGTAGGAGCAGTTTGGGAGGAGGGGAAAAAATAAGTTTGGTTCTGGGTATATTTAGTTTGCAGTACCTTTTTAACATCAAGGCACAAAGTATCACTAATAGTAAAGAAAGCTGAAAAGTACAAATAGTAGCATGAAGGGAAGCTGAGATAGAGATGTAGTATAGAGAATGGAGTTGTGAAATTCTTAGAATGGAGTTGTGAATTTCTTATGTCTATTTTTAGTCATTCACCTGCTGTATACTCGTGAATTTGAACTTGTTACATATATAAACATGTTTATTTATTTATTTATTTATTTATTTATGAATTCTTTATTAGCATTTATTGAGTTTATTCTATGTGTTAGTACAAGTACTAAATGTAGATTATAAAGATTTTTAAACCATGGTCCGTCTCCTGGATAAGGTTACAATTTAGTGAGAATTTTTTTAAAAATCACAAAATGTTGTAAGAATTGCTATGTAAAAAGTTGGTGAAATGCTGTGAGAGCCCAGATAATTGAGCAATAGATTCTGCCTTGGGATATTGGAAATTACTTCAAGAGGAAGTGATAATTGAATTTAATGATTTTAAGCCTATATATCATACTAGGTGAAGTATTAATAGTGATCTTTGAAATTTCCTTCCCATGACTTCCTTTAGTCTTAGGATTACAGTGCTTAAAAATGGGACAAAAGACCTGAAAGCCAGATATTTTCATGAAACCCAAAGATTGAATTTCCAACAAGTAATAATTATTTTG